AACCGAATGTTAAAGTGGTAGTAATCTCTTCTTTAATAATTTTTCTTATAATAAAGCTTACCTGTAGGTATTTATTATTACTACTATAGCACCGGCAATTTACGCAGCATATATATATATATATATATATAAATTTTATTTTTTTTTTTCCTCAGGTACTTATATAGCACTGTCAATTTACACAGCACTTTACATATATATTGTACATTCACATCAGTCCCTAACCCTCAAGGGGCGTACAATCTAAGGTCCCTAACTCACATTCATACATACACATACTAGGGACATTTAGACAGGAGCCAATTAACCTACCAGCATGTCTTTGGAGTGTGGGAGGAAACCGGATTACCCGGAGGAAACCCACGCAGGCACAGGGAGAACATGCAAACTCCAGGCAGGTGGTGCCATGGCTGGAATTCAAACCAACGACCCTAGTACTGCCAGGCAGAAGTGCTAACAATTTAGCCACTGTGCTGCCCATATATATACTAAATATTTTGTACATTCACATCAGTTCCTAACCCTCTCAAAGGGCGTACAATCTAAGGTCCCTAACTCATATTCATACATACACATACTTGGGACAATTTAGACAGGAGCCGATTAACCTACCAGCTTGTCTTTGGAGTGTGGGAGGAAACCGGAGTACCCGGAGGAAACCCACGCACAGGGAGAACAGGCAGATGGTGACGTGGTTGCGATTCGAACCAACAAACCTAGTCCAGCTAGGAAAAAGTGTTAACAACTTAGCAACTGTGCCATTCATTTTTTTTGACCAATAAAACTAAAAAGATAGGCCATTCATTATTCTTTTTTTTTTGGTTGGAGTTCTGCTTTAATGTTAAAGTATATGTAAACCCTCCCCCATTCAGTTTAAAATAGAAAATAAAGGCAAAACATTTGTGTACAGATATAAAGAACATTATAAATACTTTTTCGTGATCACTCTCAAGCTATTTATGCAGATGAGAAAAAGTACTGGGGAAGGAGAAACAGCAGTACACTGACTTTCCCAGTAGGTTGAGAGCAAAAAAAAAAAAAAAAAAAAAAAAAGGGACTGTTCTGGGTTAGGAATACATACTTGAATATACAGTGCATCCAGAAAGTATTAACAGCACTTAACTTTTACCACATTTTGTTATGTTACAGCCTTATTCCAAAATTGATTAAAATCATTTTTTTCCCAACACTCTACAAACAATACCCCATAATGACAACATGAAAGAAGTTAGTTTTGAAATCTTTGCAATTTATTAAAGATAAAAAATGAAAAAAAAAACACATGTATAAGTATTCCCAGCCTTTGCTCAATACTTTGTTGAAGCCCCTTTAGCACCATTTACAGTCTCAAGTCGTTTGGAGTATGATGCTACAAGCCTGGCACACCTATTTTTGGGCAATTTCTCCCATTCTTCCTTGCAGGACCTCTCAAGCTCCATCAGGTTGGATGGGGAGCGTCGGTGCACAGCCATTTTCAGATCTCTCCAGAGATGTTCAAATCGGGTTCAAGTCTGGGCTCTGGCTGGGCCACTCCAGGAAATTCACAGAGTTAGCCCGTAGCCACTTTATTATGTGGGATGTGTGCTTAGGGTCCTTGTCTTGTTGAAAGATGAACCGTCGCCCCAGTCTAAGGTCCAGAGCACTCTGGAACAGGTTTTCATCAAGGATGTCTCTGTACATTGCTGCATTCATCTTTCCTTCGATCCTGACTAGTCTCCTGGTTCCAGCCACTGAAATACATCCCCACAGCATGATGCTGCCACCACCATGCTTCACTGTAGAGATGGTATTGGCCAGGTGGTGAGCGGTGCCTGGTTTCCTCTCCAGACATGACGCTTGGCATTCAGGTCAAAGAGTTCAATCTTTGTTTCATCAGACTAGAGTTTTGTTTCTCATGGTCTGAGAGTCCCTCATGTGCCTTTTGGCAAACTCCAGGCGGGCTGCCATTTGCCTTTTTCTGAGGAGTGGCTTCCATCTGGCCACTCTACCATACAAGCCTGATTGGTGGAGTGCTGCAGAGATGGGTGTTCTTCTGGAAGATTCTCTCTCCACAGCGAACGCTAAGGCCCTTCTCCCTCGATCGCTCATTCTGGCACGGCAGCCTGCTCTAGGAAGATTCCTGGCGGTTCCAAACTTCTTCCATCTATAGATTATGGAGGCCACTGTGCTCATTGGGACCTTCAATGCTGTAGAAACATTTCTGTACCCTTCATACAATCCTGTCTTGAAGGTCTACGGACAATTCCTTGGACTGCTTGGTTTGTGCTCTGACATACACCAACTGTGGCACCTTCGACAGGTTTATGCCTTTCCTAATCATGTCCAATCAACGTAATTTCCCACAGGTGGACTCCAATCAAGTTGTGGAAACATCTCAAGGATGGTCAGTGGGAACAGGATGCACCATAGCTCAATATTGAGTGTCATGGCAAAGGCTGTAAATACTTATGTACTTGTGTGTTTTTTCATTTTTTATGTTTAATAAATTGCAAAGATTTCAAAAACAAACATCTTTCATGTTGTCATTATGGGGTATTGTTTGTAGGATGTTGAGGGAAAAAATGAATTTAATCTGTTTTGGTATAAGGCTGGAACCAGGGGCGGACTGACCATATGGAAACTTGGGCACTGGCCGAGGTCAGTAGGGGGCCCCATGAGATGCCCCTGGTACCTTTTTCATGGGCTTTTTTTGAGTTTGGGCAAGGACACAGGGGCCTCATGGTCCCCTATTGCCTGGGGGCCCCATGAGTTGTCAGTCTGCCCCTGGTTCCAGGTGGATTAGTTTATTCCCTTCTTGTGATGCTGTGACGAACCGCATAGGGGCAGTACCCCTATGAAGTTAGCGTGCAAAACTGGAAGTAGGTGTCTGAACTGCACATATGAGCTGCTGATCAGAAATCCTCTTAAGGGGGCAAAATCCAGATAAAGTGTTACATACAGCAGTGCACAGGGGCCCTATTGCCCGGGGGCCCCATGAGTTGTCAGTCCGCCCCTGGCTGAAACATAACAAAATGTGGCAAAAGTTAAGTGCTGTGAATACTTCCTGGATGCACTGTAATTTTTTTTCTAAGTTCTTCTTATTCTAGTGGTGCCTTGTTTGTTCATTTCTATTTTTCTACATGCATACTTGAATAGATTTTTTTATAGCCAGAGTTTAATGTCTCCAACTGTTAAGGACATTCTCTATGTGTCAAGGATTAAACTAGCTTACAGCTGAAAAAAGGAAAAAATGGGTCTGGCAGCTAAAGAGTTGAAGTACGTATGCCATCTAGTCTGAAACAAGACAAAGATTAATATGTAAAGTGCAGCGAACCATAAAAATCAAATACATACCTGCCCTGAGAGATTAGCTGCTGAAATCCAGTTGCTCGGGGGTTCATCATACTTTATGAACTACCTTCTGAAATAATCCCAAATGTCAACTGAATACAAATCTCCTCTACAAGGCTCATATGAGCTACGAAAATATTGGAGGGACCTGAATTCCCAGAAAACGCTGAGCTAGCCAGGGACGGCACTCAACAGTTGTAGCAGCAGAGCGCTCATCTGCCAATTCATTTGCTAACAAATTGTCTGAATCATTTTTATAATGAAGTTCATCTGTTTGGCCAACTGTTCATACCGTGAAAACAGAAAATCAGATTTCTGTCTGTTTTCAGCAAACCGTAAAACCACAAAGCGGCTTCACCGAGTGCTGGAGCTCAGCTAGGTCCCGCGGTTACCTCTGGGTACGGCCTCATGCACACTTGAGCTCAAAAACGCCTGTTTTACAGGTGACTGACATTTTATTTTTTCTGCCTCTGAACTGCCCTCCATGTTATCCTATGGTTCCTTGCACACACAGGCACTTACAGGAGTTTAGAGGCAGAAATAAAAAATAAATAAATAAATCACTTGTGCATTCTAAAGAGGAGTGTTTGGGCTGAAAAAAAATGTGCAAATGCGTATCCACGCTAGGTGCGTTCATGCGTGTTCGTGCGTTAGTACATTCTAATAAATAATATGGCCAAAAAATGCACTAATACCAAATGCACCTGTAAGGAGAAAAAAAAAAGTGTGCGGGTGGCCTAAAAATAAAAGGACCAAAACAGAAACAAAAAAAAAAAAAAAAACAGAACATCTCTGCAATACATGCACACTTCTGTGTTGTACCCCTTAACAGACTCTGCAAGTACAGAACATACCTGTTCATCTGCCAGAAATGCACTTACCTCCTAATTTCCCCGCTGTGGGCTTACACCATCACACATCGCATTAAAATCACAAGGAATGGTGTCAGCCCAGTTCTCTCCCGCTTCCCACACACACTAAATATATATATATATATATATATATATATATATATATATATATATATATATATATATATATATATACACACATATACATATACATACACACACATATATATATATACACACACACACACATACACACACAAAAAGAGGGTGTTTTGTAGTTTCTCAACAAAAGCAGAGCTACTCTTTACAGCTCAAGTTTACCATGCCCATCCTTTCTGCCCCCCTTATCCATTCACATAAGCTGTACTATCTTTCATCAATGGAAAGTGCACTGTCAATGGAGGAGGGGTGGATAAATCAAAGACTTATTTATTACAGGTACTTATATAGCGCCGTCAGTTTACACAGCGCTTTACATATATATTGTACATTCACATCAGTCCCTAACCCTCAAGGGGTGTACAATCTAAGGTCCCTAACCCACATTCATACATACACATACTAGGGACAATTTAGACAGAAGCCAATTTACCTACCAGCATGTCTTTGGCGTGTGGGATGAAACCGGATTATCCGGAGGAAACCCACACAGGCACAGGGAAAACATGCAAACTCCAGGCAGACCCTGCATTCACTACATCCAGTCTCCCCGGACCCAGCACTCGCTACATCACGTCTCCCCGGACCCCACATTCGCTACATCCTGTCTCCCCGGACCCCGCATTCGCTACATCTGGTCTCCCCGGACCCCGCATTCACTATATCTGGTCTCCCAGGACCCCGCATTCACTATATCTGGTCTCCCCAGGACCCCGCATTCACTATATCTGGTCTCCCCGGACCCCGCATTCACTACATCCGGTCTCCCCGGACCCCGCATTCGCTACATCCGGTCTCCCCGGACCCCGCATTCACTACATCTGGTCTCCCCGGACCCCGCATTCACTACATCTGGTCTCCCAGGACCCCGCATTCACTACATCCGGTCTCCCAGGACCCCGCATTCACTACATCTGGTCTCCCAGGACCCCGCATTCACTACATCTGGTCTCCCAGGACCCTGCATTCACTACATCTGGTCTCCCCGGACCCCTGCATTCACTATATCTGGTCTCCCCAGGACCCTGCATTCACTATATCTGGTCTCCCAGGACCCTGCATTCACTATATCTGGTCTCTCCGGACCCCGCATTCACTACATCCGGTCTCCCCGGACCCCGCATTCACTACATCCGGTCTCCCCGGACCCCGCATTCACTACATCCGGTCTCCCCGGACCCCGCATTCACTACATCCGGTCTCCCCGGACCCCGCATTCACTACATCCGGTCTCCCCGGACCCCGCATTCACTATATCCGGTCTCCCAGGACCCCGCATTCACTACATCCTGGTCTCCCAGGACCCTGCATTCACTATATCTGGTCTCCCCGGACCCTGCATTCACTATATCTGGTCTCCCAGGACCCTGCATTCACTATATCTGGTCTCCCCGGACCCCGCATTCACTATATCTGGTCTCCCCGGACCCCGCATTCACTATATCTGGTCTCCCAGGACCCCGCATTCACTATATCTGGTCTCCCAGGACCCCGCATTCACTATATCTGGTCTCCCAGGACCCTGCATTCACTACATCTGGTCTCCCCGGTCCCTGCATTCACTATATCTGGTCTCCCAGGACCCTGCATTCACTATATCTGGTCTCCCCGGACCCCGCATTCACTATATCTGGTCTCCCCGGACCCCGCATTCACTATATCTGGTCTCCCAGGACCCCGCATTCACTATATCTGGTCTCCCAGGACCCTGCATTCACTATATCTGGTCTCCCACACTACACAGCACATGGAAATGCAATTCTTTTAGTAAATATAAATCAATAAATACCTTTTCTCATCAGCATTATATAACAGCCTTGTGACTTCTATCAGTGTCCACCGGGGAACTGGTTAAAGCTTGTAAAAGGAGTTTTCATTCTGCTCTGACTGACTAAAGCTGCATGACCCCTGACCCACTATCCAGACATTGCGGATTGGCCCTGTACCGATCACATGCACCCTGCCAAAGCAAAAAACCTCTCTAGCAATACACACCAATCTGAGCATGTGCAGAGACTTCTAAAACTATGTACTATCAGCAGATGGACTGGGGACAGTAGAAGGGGAGGATCAGAGAAGTCAGGATCACACAGTGATTTTACACAATGAGCAGGATTCACCCCTTAGGTTCCACAGTGAGTATAACAAGCATGCTTTACTGCATATACAGACTGATATTACTGTTGTGGGTTTAGGAACACTTTAATAGACACTTTTATACACAGCTGCACCAAATTTTGCACTCTCCAGTTTCAGTAAATCAACCTCAATGCATGAACATCTGAATTATAGATATCGGTATATAAAATATATGGTGGCCTCCAGTAAAGGTACCATGAAGTCAATACCAATACAAGATGTGGACATGGGAATAGGACAGTCTATGTGCATTCTATGGGATCATGGCATGAGTGTAATGGACTGGGCATGTATGGTGCTGGGGGGTATTGATATGGATATGGCGCTGGGGGGTATTGATATGGCGCTGGGGGGTATTGATATGGCGCCGGGGGGTATTGATATGGCGCCGGGGGTATTGATAAGGATACGGCGCCGGGGGTATTGATACGGATACGGCGCCGGGGGTATTGATACGGATACGGCGCCGGGGGTATTGATACGGATACGGCGCCGGGGGTATTGATACGGATACGGCGCCGGGGGTATTGATACGGATACGGCGCCGGGGGGTATTGATACGGACACGGCGCCGGGGGTATTGATACGGATACGGCGCCGGGGGTATTGATACGGACACGGCGCCGGGGGTATTGATACGGACACGGCGCCGGGGGTATTGATACGGATACGGCGCCGGGGGTATTGATACGGATACGGCGCCGGGGGTATTGATACGGATACGGCGCCGGGGGTATTGATACGGATACGGCGCCGGGGGGTATTGATACGGATACGGCGCCGGGGGGTATTGATACGGATACGGCGCCGGGGGTATTGATACGGATACGGCGCGGGGGGTATTGATACGGATACGGCGCGGGGGGTATTGATACGGATACGGCGCGGGGGTATTGATACGGATACGGCGCGGGGGTATTGATACGGATACGGCGCGGGGGGTATTGATATGGATATGGCGCCGGGGGTATTGATATGGATATGGCGCGGGGGTATTGATATGGATATGGCGCTGGGGGGTATTGATATGGATATGGCGCCGGGGGTATTGATATGGATATGGCGCTGGGGGTATTGATATGGATATGGTGCCAACTTCTCCTTCCAACAAACAGTAACAAAAGATACAAAAAAAAAATAAAAAGGGAATGGCATTTGAAATTGAAGTAATATACAAAGTAACATTAAGATCCTGCAGAGAGCCAGTCAGACGGGATGGAAGGACTCCAAGTCACAGGTGAATGGAAGATTCTATTGCAGGCGGCGACAATGCAGCCATTGATGGTTGCTGACCCTTGTGCCCTGCGGCAATGATAAGACCATCTCTGTGCCAATGCCAGCTTCTGATTCCAGGCCTTGTGTTCAAGCCAAGCCTGGGATATTAAAGGCGTAGTAGCATCAAACCTCTCCATCCTTAAAAGCAGGGGTCTCCAAACTATGGCCCTCCAGCTGTTGAAGTACTACAAGTCCCATCATGCCTCTAGGAGTCTTGCCCGTGGCTGTCAGAGTCTTGCAAGGCCTCATGGGACTTGCAGTTCCTCAACACCTGGAGGACCATAGTTTGGAGACCCTTGCTTAAAAGGCTAACCATACATTGTACAACCAGTTCATATTTCATCCATTCCATGGAGGTAAAACCAATCAGGTTTTTTTCCACCATGTGTGTCCCATTGGGGAGATTTCCCTTTACTTCCTGTCGCATAGTTAAAACAGGAAGTAAGAGAAAATCCCTACAAAGTGAGGGAATCCCTAGTTGTCTTCAGAACTAGTGTCCCCATTGGAAGATTTCTTTTTTATTACTGTTGTGGTGACAACCCAAACTTGGGGATTTTCTTTTACTTTCACTCTCAGTAATAATGGTAAACAGGCCAAGTAGAGAGGATGAATCTCCCATTGGGGGGCAAAGACAGGAATAAAATTCATTTTCATTCTATCCAGAACTGGAAAAAAAAAAAATTGCCTTGAAGACTAAAGCCAGCCATACATGGGTCGAATTCCGAAAGAATTTTCTTTCGTAAATCTTTTCTAAGAATTTTCGTTCGAATTTCGCACCATTAGTGGAACAGCAACGGAAAATTTTCGAAAACCCATCAAATTTGAGTGAATTTTGAAAAACAAACAAATTTCTAATCAATGACAGGAGAATCATTGAGAAATGTAATAGAAAAAGAAATTAGCGTGAGCTGCGACCTGTAAAGCAAAAACAATTCTTGGCCACGAAAATTCTTTTCTGTAGTAACATGAGGTGAAACGGAAGGCTTGGTTGGTTGAATTTCGAAATCAATGGTGGCGCCATCGGATTACAAAATGCACAGAATTTCAGATTTTCTAAAGAAAATTTGTTCAGAATTCTACCCATTTATGGCCTACATAAGCATTTTCTGGGATGTTTTGTTTACAAATTTAAAAATCGGTATTTCTTTTTAATAGAAAATGATTCTAGAGAATGAAATGGCAATTGTTTCCTTTTTTTTTTTATGTCCCACGGTATTTGCGCAGCAGTTTTCAAATGCCATGTTTTGGGGAAAAAATACCCTTTAGTGAATTAAAAAAAAAAAAAAAAAAATTTAACACAAGATATACCCCAATTTTTTTGTAAAATACAAAACCGGATGTAATGGCGAGTAAATAGACAGCCAACATGTCGCACGCTTGTGGAATGGCGACAAACTACAGTACTTAATCTCCATAGGCAACGCTTAAAAAAAAAAAAAAAAAAAAAAAAAAAAAAAAAAACTTTACAGGTTACCTGTTTAGAGTTATAGAGGAGATCTAGCGCTAGAATTTCTCTCGCTCGAACGTTCGTGATACCGCATGTGTGCTGCGAACACCGTTTACATATGCGTGCGTGATTTACACATACGTTCACTTCTGCGTGCGAGCTTTAAAAAATGTTTTTCCTTTTTTTTTTTCTTACTTTTACACTGTCCCCTTTTTTTTTTTTTTTTTAGCACTTTCATTCCTATTACAAGGAATGTAAACATCCCTTGTTACAGAAATATACATGACAGGTCCTCTTTAAGAAGAGATTTGGGGTCAAAAAGATTCCAAACCTCTTTTCTACCTTTAAAAGTAAAAGATCAAAAAAATTAAAAAAAATAAAAAAAAAAGGTTTTTGGAACATTTGCTTTAAAAGAAAAATAATAGTTTTTTCCCGCTGCCGTCACTCCGGTCCTCCATCATGATAGAGGCGGTCAAAGGCCAAAGAGTCTCATCGCCTCCATCTTGACAAGGCCACTCCGTCGGATCGTTTCTCAGGCCGGCCGGCGTTAACGGTAAGTCAGAGAAACACCGGCAAGCCGCGGGGGGGGGGGTTGGAATGTCCCCCCCCCCGTCACTCTAAAAAGCGAACTAGTAGCTGAAGAGCCATTAGGACCACTCATCAGAAAGCCAGTCGTCCTCTGAACAAAATGATACCGGGTTTATAGCAGATTTCTTCAGCCATAACCCCGGAAACCACTTGAAAACTGCAACGGTTATATACGCATTGCGGTCTTCAAGTGGTTAAAGTGGTTGTAAACTCTAACATATACCCAGTGAAGGGACTGGACTCAAGTGATAAAGAGGTGAAATAAATCCTACTTAAGTTGTACCCGTTTATCTATAGCCATCTTTCCCCTACATCCATTCAAAGTGCAGAATTTACACAAGCTCTGAAAAGCAGGGGGCGTGGAACTGAAGTTACATCAGTGAAGAGAGCTCTGAGAGCTGATTGGAGGGAACGGACACACCCTCTTCACACAGGAACAGAGCTGAGGCTGTCAATCTGCTGGATGTCCCTCCCCTGTCTCCATTTTTCTCTTGGT